CAAAAATGAGACAAGACGATATGGGCCAAGTATAGAGGAATAAGTCTCTTTCTCATCGCATATAAGGTGTTATCCAGCGTAATGTGTAAAGGACTGAAGTCAATGGTCAATGATATTATTGGACCATACCAATGCGGCTTCAGACCTGGCAAATCCACCATAAACTAGATTTTCAAACTGCGCCATATCCTGGAAAGGAAAAAAACCCACGAAAAATACATCGACTACAAGCCGCATTCGACAGCCCAATGCGCTCAGAGGTGTTTAAAACCATAACTGCGTTCGTTATTCCTGCGAAATTCAGATCTACAGACTTTAACTGGCACAAGGTCAACTGTTAATGTCGGAAGGGACCTCTCGGAGACCTGTAATACCGAAGGAGGATTCAGACAAGGTGACAGTTTGTCGTGTGACCTTTTAACAACATGCTGGAAAAGGTCACACGAGATGCAAATGTGAACGGAAATGGAACTCTGTTCACCAAACAGAATATACTCGCCGACGACATCGACATAATGGGTCGAAAATTGCGGGCGGTAAAAGCCACCTTTGAACAAATTGAGAAGGCGTCTACCAAAGTGGAACTAAGACTGCGAGAAGACCAAGCTGATGGTATCAACGCGTAAGACGTCGAGTGAATGATTTTATATACCACGGTGCCGCCATAAGCAGTTCAAAAACAAGGCCATCTCTCGCCAAACCAAAACAGACGCTGATACTGTCCGTGTTTAAGAGAAAAATTCTCGGAAATAGCTATGGGCCGATATGCCTCGACGGTGAATATCGCCGTCGAATGAACTATGGGCTGTACCATCTACTCTCGGACATCGACATAGTCAGACGTAACGAGCTGCAGCGACTACTTTGGCTAGACCATGTCGAGAATGGAGAATGGATGAGGATAATCCAGCTCAAAAGACATATAAAAGCGAGCCAAGTAATGGTTCAAGCAGAATTCAATGAAAAAAACAAGTGGAGGACATCATCTCAGTTCCAATTCGTTCCAAATTTTAACAAGTTATACTGTCACTCAAGATTTTTCTCTTTTCCTAACACCGTTTGTGTTCGAAAATGGGGGATTGTTCAAAAACCCAATTTCATACATTCGCCATTTTGGTAATTTTTGTGCGGTGTACTTCTGCGGGTTTGTACTTAATTCGAACCTACATTAATTCACGAATGTCCCTTTAAAATATCAAGTGAAAATCTCAAGACCCCTTGTTGGCATCAAGCAACGGCACTTTAAACGCGTTTTTCTCGAAACACAAAAACTTATGATCCAATCCGTTCCAAATTTTAACATGTTATACTGTCGGTCAAGTTCTTCTTCTTCCCAGGGCCGTCGCTGATTTCGAATGCCGTTGGAATGTCCGTCGTCGAAAAGAAAGACGTTTCGCCAATTACAAAAAAAAATACAAAACCACAACAACGAAATTATATCAATTCCCTTTCTTATCCTTTGAGTCTTCAAGTACAAAGTTACAAGTCTTCAATGTAAAGTACAACCATTCGCCAGCCGGTTGAAAACCGTAAAAAAATCGAGAATGGGTAGAGTCCCCTCAAGCTAATTTTTTCAAACGAAGGAAATGTAAATCGCTATTGCAATATTAATACCGTTTTAATTATTATTATAAATATTTTGATGTTTCTAGAAACATGAAAATCAAAGAACCTCCCCACAAGATGCCAAAAAGCCATAAATGTTTGCAGGCAGCTGGAGAACTCTTTACACTCATGTGCTATTAATCGCGCATATCGTTCACAATATCAAAGCTATGTGGGATCACCAGGTCTCCTTGTGGAATAGCCGATCAAAATGATTGCTGAGCATTATTCTACCTATTTTTCCTTCTTAATTTCATTTATACTAATTAATTCCATAAAACGGCAACATTTAATTTTCATAATCTTTTGTTTTACTTTATTTTATTTTTTGTATTGTCCGCATGTTTTTTTTTTGTTGTTGCTTTTGTGACACTGAATATTAGGTTCAAAGTAAATATTTAACAAATTTGATGACTAATAATCTTCTTGTATAAATAATAGAGATTGTTAACCGCACACAACAACGACAACAACAACAACCATAAAAATAAACAACGGTATAAAAAAAACAATAAACACAATAATGCGAGAATGGTAGGGAATATTAAATGATGATAAGAGGGGAGTGCAAAATTATAGAACGCAAAAAACTAGACTTTCGGAGGTCTTAATTCAATGTAAACAAATTATACGATTTTAAATTCGACTAAACTATGTATAGGAGACGATCGCGCGAATGTGATTGTTTGAAATGTGACAAAAAAATAAATAATAAAAACATAAATTTTAAAATTGTAGATTAGATGATTCACATCAACACACAAACAAATATTTTAATTACAGTAGAACACTGTTAAAATAAATTGTATGCAACAAGAATAAGGATATAGTTGATTGAGTACATAGAAAAAAATTGCTTTGGAAACCCTTAAAATGAAGGTCAATTTTGTAAAAAAATTTCAATCTTGTAAAAAATTTTCAATTTTTCGTCCATTGTATCACTCCTGGCTATTTCGACGAAAAAAATGTCAGTATATGTTGTAATAGTATTACTATTATTTAGACAACTGTCCATTGTGACAACTTTTATTGCTTAATCCAAATAAGTAACTAAGTTCTACAATGGATTCCAAATAATTTACCATTTTGTTGTTATCATTTTTCTTTTGGCAAAAATTCCACTGCATTAGTTTATCAGCCAAATATGATGGGCAAATCAATTAGATTGTCATAAATGTCAATTATCATTCATTCAACGATTATCTTTTCTTTTGAATTTATCAAATTATTGAGTAACTGTTTTGTTTCGAAATCTATTGGATTTTTTGTCGAATACTGAGAAATGTATACCACCTGTGGTTTCTGCTTGATTCTATGAATAATAAAAAAGGGATGTTAAAATGTTAAATTGAAATTTTGAATATTTGAATCACGTGATGTCGAGGGACTTGAGTCAAATAATTACGTCACATTAAATTTAATTCTTCTTGTAGGGGACTTTGCATCACGAAATGAAATAAATAAGGGGTTATCATTTTGTAGATTATTGTTTGGAAGGCGCACCACCCTGAGTATAATTAAATTTATATTTTTTGATTGAGACTAAATTGAGCTTTGCTATCGCTAGGTATGAGATAAAACTTCCAAATATGTAAAAATGTAACAGTGATTTAGGTAGACTTCGATACCTTATTTTTTAAATAAATAACCACAAAGAAAAAAGTAAAATAACCACAAAAACGGGATATCGCAAACTTAGTAGTCATCAGCAGCCATAAATTCGGATGACGGCATGTCAAACACTGGTTGATTCGAATAAAAAATCGTTATCCGTCAGTGATTTACGGAGGAAGGCCTCCGATTGACGAGGTGAACTACTGACACCCCTAAAGTCAGTGCATTCGAAATACACCATTACATGGTGTATTCATCTAGGCTACAAATACAGACCTTAGTCAAATGTAACCAGTAGTCAATATACCCCACACACAAATAATATATAAATAAATAATATAACAACAGCAGCCAGAAATTAATGAAAAAAGCCGCCTCTCATCATCACCATCAGATGCTTGCTCACAAGATATATTGTTGTTATGGTTTGCGCAGGTCCGCCAACTACACACAGGTGTTATTATATATGTTTTTACCGAACAGTTTTCGGAATTAATGTTTCAAATCGGTCATTCAATTCGCTTCAAATTAAATTTACAAGTTTATATAATTAATATTGACACTTTGTGGGGGAGGTACCATAAGGAAAGGGCCGACGGTCCCCACCTTCGGACTTCATCTAGGCTTGGTAAAGATAATAGGTTGGGCAAAGTTTGATTCAATTCGGACATTCCATTCATCTGATATTGGGTTTGTAAATCTTGAAAATGTCGACCATTTATTTGTGGTGGTCGACATTTCCGACTTGATATAGACTTAGTAAAGAAAGTTGTGAAAAGTTTGGTTCAAATAGGATATTCCATTTGCCTAATATTACAATTATAAATATTTAATATTAACCATTTGTAGAACAGGTACAAAATGCTGTGGGTCCCAATCGGTCCCATTTTCGGATTTAATCTTGGTAAACATAATAGGTTGTGCAAAGTTTGGTTCATTTCGGACATTCAATTCAGCTGATATTGGATTTATAAATTTTGAAAACTTTGACCATTTTTGGGAAAGGGTACCAGAATGAGTGGACCAATTAGTCCCACACACACAATTGTTTCACAATTCCATCAAGAAGTCATCTTGTCTGTCGGTTGTTACTTCAACAAACAAAATCTGAAGCTCACAAAAGCCCAAAAACTGCTTCTCAACGAGTATTGGTGACTATGTGTATGTTTTATTTTTTTCCAAACCTCGAAGAAAAAAATCTAGACATGGGGCTGATAATTTACCAATTCATTTGCTAAATTGCATGTAAGCATGATCGTGGTAGTCCTTTCGTTAATATTATTTTTCATTATTAAGGACATACCTTATGGAACGATGGGGATGATAATAAACTTGAAAATGTATAGAATATAAAAATAGGCTGAAGTATTACCAAAAAAGGTACAATTCATTTCGCAGATCAGTGCACTGATTTAAACGATATAATAGTTTTCTTGCTTCCTGAGAGAGCAGGCTCCCAAGTTCCCTATTTCTTTTCTTTTGGTATAGACATAGACATTCTTCTGTGGACAAATGCCAAAATGTGCTACACGAATGATGAATTTATGCGACCGCTTTAAATTGTTGCATACCAGATTAAATAATTAATATTCACTCTCAAAAGGGTGGGCTGTATCATAATGTTTTTTTTTAATTCGAAAATCATTGAATTACTTCTCTTGCCCTAACAATCATTATTCACAAAGTGACATTATTAATCATGCACAAAATACACATGTTATTCTTATTCTTATTATGTTATGTTTTTGTTTTTTTTTTTTTTCTTATAATTTATCATTTACCTTATAGACTTGTATCTCATCCAGCACCGCTTCTGATTCCTTAAGCACACGGTCCACTTCGTCGTAGACTTCACGTTCAGTTTCCGTGGGTGCCGCATTCTCAAAATCCAAAAAGACATCGTACGATTTGGCTGTGCAACAGTTTGAGTCATCGCGTGCCAATAAACTCAATAATTTACCCATTTTTGAAAAAAGTTTTGGTTTTGCTTTTATGTGGGTATGTTCTTATTTTTTGTTGTTGTTACTGTAGATTTATTGTTATTATCAGGAAAAAACTTTGTTGTTATTACTTTTTTTTCCAAATAAAACAAAATATTATTATAAAAACACACGAAATAAAACACAAAATTCCGTATGCTGTTGTTGTTTTTGCTGTTATAAAAATAATAAAATGCTGCTCTTTTCACCTCTTGAGCAATAATAATTTCTTCTGTTTGTTGTTGTTACTTTGTACTTGAAAAAATGTATTTTTTGGTTTTGTTTTCTTTTGTTGTTATTGTTTTTTATTTTTTGTATCTGCGCACAGGGTTTAACGTTGCGTTTCCTTGTTTGAAAATACTTTTGTCGACAAATAATTTTTTTTTATCCAAAAAAATCGAAAATAAAAAAACACAATCCTATAGACATAAAATGAATATTTAATTAGAATTTTATTGTATGAATGGTTTAAAAGTTTATCGATTGTACATTATGTGTATGTCTGTGTGTTTGTTATGGGTTGAACAGGCGTTTTTTGATGATGGTAAATATTCAATTTGCAAAATTCATTTTAAGTGATTTTAAAGATAATTTGCAGCGATGAATAAAATTAAATACTGTGGGAACGTGAAATATGGAATAATCTGTCAAAGGGGACAAATAAGAATAATTAAAATAAATATATATGTAATGGAATCAAATTAAAGAAATACAAAGCCGTTATCTTCAGGTGGTCGGACCGTATTTTGTATATGTCTTACGGTAGATTTCCATAGTATAATAAAAAAAATTGCATAGATCGTGAAGATCCCACTTGTCGTGCGTGTGCAGTTGATGCTCATCCGTTAGGAGGTGAATATTACTTTATCACAACTATTGCTGGCTAGTATTATTAAGACTTATTGGATTGGATTACGGCTGCTAGATTGAAACCTGGGAACCTAACCGAAGATTAATAGGGTGATCATGTAAAAACACGGACCTTTACAGAACTTTTTTTACTACACCGGAAATTCAAACAATAGCCGCTTCATAATCCCGAAAATGTGGCGTTACCTTTATATGGGAGCAAGAACCTTAACACTTTCAGTTTTCGTCGAAGATATTTCTTCAAGAACCTGGACATGCTTAATTACAGTCACATCAGTAGAGAAATACACCGAACATGGGGTGGAACTTTTATGTGGGCCCATATCGTGGACCCACCAAAAAATGTTTTTCAAACTCCAAAAACCCTGAAAGCAGCATTACTCCCACTATTTTTGAAATTGCAGATAATCGGTCCTTATGACTTTAAATTGCATTATTAGAAAAAAAAGTAAAAGTGTCAGTCAAAATACGGACAATAGAATGGACCGTTATATGTGAAGTTATAGCAGAATGTGGACCAATAAATCCCATTTGCTGTACCAAACTTTCTAGGAGAAGTAGTAATGTCTGCAGAACTCTATCATTAATATTGTGATTTCATCATACAACAGAAGGCGGACGGATATATTTAAATCAGCATAGAATTTTATTCCGATCAAGAATATATATATATACTTTATTGGGTCGCCGCACTTGAGATTGTGAGGAACGGAATAAAAAACCATGGCTTAGATTTATTTTATGGTCTGGTCCATACGGAAATTTACATTTCCTGAGATTTGACTGTATGGATTAATGTAATTTTGTAAAAAAAATTAGTGTATCCTGGAAGTCTTCTCTATTCTATAGGAGAAAGTCTTAAATACCGACCGAAAACTAGCCACTGTATTCTATTTAAAATAAGATTATGTCGCGAATTCGATTTTGCTATAGATGATAGGGGAGGAAGCCAATATAGACTTCTCAATAAAATAGTAATTTAAATTTCAGTAATTTTTTTACACATATTTCCTAAGAAAATTTTTAGAACAATGGGGAAATACACAAATAAGGAGAATAAGTCTCCTTCCCATCGCATATAAAGTGCTATCCAGCGTGCTGAGTGAACGACTGAAGCTAATGGTCAATGACATTATTGGACCATACCAATGCGGCTTCAGACCTAACAAATCCACCATTGACTACATGTTTCACTCTACGCCAAATCCTGGAAAAAAAACCCACGGAAAACACATCGACACTTTCCACCTATTCGTCGACTATAAAGCCGCAGAGGTGTCAAAAGCCATGTCTGCGTTTGGCATTCCTGCTAAATTAATTCGGCTATGCAGGATAACTTTAACTGGGACAAGATCAGCAGTAAATGTCGGAAAGGATCTCTCGGAGACCTTTAACTCCGAAAGAAATTCAGACAAGGTTACAGTTTGTCGTATAACATTTTTAACATCCTGCTGGAAAAGTTCATTGGAGAGGCAAAGGTGAACAGAAATGGCACTATGTACACCAAACAACACATCGACATAATGGGTCGAACATTGAGAGCGGTAACAACCACCTTTGAACAAATTTAGAAGAAGTCCGACAAAGTGGGTCTGGCAGTAAACGGCGAGAAGACCATGCTGGTAGTATCAATGGGCAAGACGTCCAGTAGACTCGGACCAACTGTGAAACTTGAGAACTACAACTTCGAGGTAATCAAAGATTTTATATACCGTGGTACCGCCATAAATAAAACAAATGACATCAGTTTTGAAATTCGGAGAAGGATAATGTTGGCCAACAGATGCTTCTATGGTCAGTTTAAGTAAGCAGTTTAGAAACAAGGTCCCCTCCGGCCAGACCAAACTCACACTCTACAAGATGTGCTGTTATATCTGAAGCATGAGTACTTACGCAAGCAGATGAGGCAGCTCTTGGAATGTTTGAGAAAAAAATTTTCCGAAAGATCTGCATTGACGGTGAATATCGCCGTCGAATGAACCATAAGTGGTACCAGCTATTCTCGGACATCGACGTTGTTAGACGTATTGAGCTGTGCCGACTACGTTATGAGAATGGATGAAGATGCCCCAGCCCAAAAGGCATATAAAAACGAACCAGCTGATGGTGGAAGACAAAATTGCCGAATATGGTCAAATTGGAAAAACTGCGCCAAAGACCGATGGTCCTGGAATTTTTTTTTAAGCTGGGCTTATGGAACGAATGTTCTGTCACAAGCAATCTAAGTAATTAAGTAAGGGAAATGCAATGCTCTCACTAGAAATTTTGAATCTTATATCTTAGGAAGTTTAGATTTCAGCAAGACACAAATTATACCATTGTATTCAGGGCTCTTAGGACTATATGTGGTTAACGTTCCAAATGGGAACGTTACTGGGCCCTAAATTTTACTCTTTCCTAGTAGAATGTTGTGTCGGGTATACGGACGCTCGCTGTAAATGTAGCTTATGTTAAATATCGCAACCCTTCCATCATTCACAACAACAGTTTGCACTCCTCTGTTCGTCTAAATAACATTCAATTTTAAACGATTACACCGTCTATAATCCGAGCCGATATTTTTGATTAAACGCGACTTTAGCAGATTATATACCGAACATTTATAGCAACACATAGGTATAACATTAGGGAAAATAAAAATATGATCTAACTTATGTTTGGATTCAAGTTTTTTTTATCGAAATTAAAACCCTTCAAATCCTCTGCTGTTTATTTTATTATTTTTTGTAATGTTATTCTTCTTGGTAAACTTTTGAACACTTAAACAACAAATGTCATGATCTGAGTCAAGATGTCACAGACAAGAGAGAACAAGAACAATAATGAAATGAGAGCACTACAAGTAACACTACAAACAACAACAACAACAGAAACTAGTTGCCCCATTAAACCAATTATGGAATGTGTTAAAGAAACAAATAAAAGAAAAACAGGAACAGTGTTCTATCATTTAATAACAAGGTGTTGATAGAAATGACAGAAACTGAGTAAGAGAGGAACAATAAGACATTTGCAGAAAAAAAATAAGCCCCCCTCATGAGTAAATCGAATTATCGATAAATGGTAATTATGCAAAAATACGCATAGCTATCACACACACACGCGCATACATATTGGTCGACTATAACATATTGTAGCAAACAAAGGACACAAGAAAGGAAAACAAATAGTTGGACATAGAAGAAAAACAAACTTCACAAAAACAATATGGGTGGTGCTGGAATAACCATAACAAAAACAATTACAGATGTTGACCTCAAGGACCTAAAGTAGCATAAAGAATAACAAGAACGACAACAACAAAATGTAAAAAACACGCACAAGACATTCAACTCTTCTCCCAGTACTCTCGCCTGTTTGCATTTTGTTCTCATACGACGTTGTTCACATATTGCTGTATTGATAACATTCTTTGTGGGGGGTGGGGTGTGTGTTTGTGTGCGGCTGCGTTTGTGTACATATTGCCTTGCTGATGAAGATGATGACCGCTAGTTATTGCAGCGGAAACCAAAAATATAAACAAATCAGCAAATGTTTATACAAAAATAGTTCTACTTTTCTTCTGGATAGAGAAAAAAAGGAGGAAGGTAGATATTTTGGATTTTCTATATTGCTGAAATTCCCCCTGGGCCGTATGTATTAAACGTTTTTCTTTTTCCAGGTATTTATTATTATTGTTGTTCTTGCTGTTTTTGTTACACCGTGTGCTTTGTCATGTTTATTCATTGTTATCTTATATATTTGTTTGTGCAAAATGCTTATCGCTATCCGAGCCGCCATGGATTACAAAAACAACAGCAATGGCAGAACCAAAGAAAATAATAATTATAAATGGAAAAAAGCTTTTGAAAGAACCAAGGTAGATATACAAGGTAGCCGCATCGGCGAATTTCTACAACAAACATCGGTTGTTGTATTTTGATATGTCAAAAATATTTTGCCAAAACAAACAGATTGGCAAGATTTTCTTACACAAATTCTTGTAGAAAATGTTAATAAAAGTATTGCCAATAAAGCTCTTCGAAATTCGGAGATTTTCATTCATAATTTTGTTTTTTAATTTTTTGGTTCAACATTACAACAACATTTTTGACATTTATTTGTCCAACAGCTGGGCCGATGCGGCTACCTTATTAAATATACCTTGGAAAGAACATTTGAATGACTTTTATGGAGTTTTGTGATATTTATGGTGGGGCAAGCAAGCAGAAGCAGCAGTGGGGGCTGAATCATGTCCCATGGCCATATGTGCGTTTTTGCTGTTGTGTTACTGTTCCTCTAGTCAAAATGCAATGCACGTTTTATCGGCTTATGTACCCAGCAGAAGAGATGTCAATATGTAATTTGAGTGTATGTACATATGTGTTGCGATGATAAACGAAATGAAGAGGAAAATGGAGGTGTTTTCATTCCTACGCAGGGGGCGGACAATACTCCAGCACGGGAGGTTTTCTGCTATTTTCCAATCGCCGGTATAAACAGGAACGAGGGGTGTTTCCCTTCGAGTTTTTTTTTCCGATTTTTCACTATCAAAAACACACAGACTGCTGTGTGTGTTTTATATTTTATTTATATATTTTCCATGATATTAAAAGAATTTTGCAAATTATTTATTTAGCACCATCAACCGCTTATCACAAATTCCTTATTTTTTCTTTTTTCTTATTACTCTTGTTGTGGATATTTAATCGTTTTCTTTTTTCATTCGTTAATATTGTTATCACCTTTTTTTGTTGTTGAAAGAATAAAGAACTTCTTTTCTGGTTATAGCTTTATTACTTTATTTTTGTTTGATTTCCACAAAACACATTTACTGGAATAACTTTTTTGTTATTATTTATTTTCTGTGTTATATTTTTCCGAATTTTTTATTTTGATTTTTCTACTCGACGCGGGTTTGCTATAGGCCTCAATTTTCCACGAACTCCTTCTCTCCGACACATACGTTCTGATTTGCCGACAGTTTTTGTCCCAACTAGCTGAACAACAGAGTCAGCAGAGGTGTGTTAACGGCGTGTACGCAAGTAAAGAAACTCTGTTGTTTTGTTTAGATAATTAGTAGGTAGGTTCACACGATATGATAAGTTGTCATTTATTATTGTAATATTAGACAAAGGAAGGGAATTTGTGTTCTTGTACGCAAAAACGTATAAATCATGGTACAATTATAAAAGGTAACAGCAAATCCCAGCTGATTTGATTCCAACGTTATATTAGTGTCAATATGAATTTGACAAATTATGTTTTTAAAAATCACCCAACAGGAAAATTGGGAACGCATACAATTTAAAATTGTTCTTTATTAAATGTGCTCCTGTATTCAATTTACTCAATCTGCCAGCTGGGAAAGTTTGAGGAAGCAAATCTTTCTTCAAGGAATAACTCGCTATTCCCAGCATTTTCTTATGTGTTACACATATATATGGCAATGGCTCAATTATAGGAAAGATGTGGAATAGATAGAAATATAAATTTGATAGATTTTCATTCATATTTTTCAATTTTTATTTTGAGGATTCGAAAATATTTCATTTTCAAAATAAAAATAATTTGATGATAATTTGTTTGTTTGTTTACATTTTTCTGTCAAATGAGTTGACACTAGTAGAACTTACAACAACAAATTTCCATGTGGTTGTTGTATCGTTTTTTGTACAACAACACTTGCTGTTACCTTCAATTATTATACCATGCGTATAAATATACGACGTTAAGACTAATAGTACGTTTACATTTAAACGGATTTCGTTAACCCAGTGGATTTCAATTGTCGATTTATTTGCATATATGTCAAATAAATCTTCATAATGTAGGTTAACCCGGTAAAAAGTTCTAATGTATATGGCGTTTAAATCGACTCGATTTGTTAATCGTGGTACCAAATCCCAGCTGTTTAGACTAGTATTAAAATTTTATAAATTGATTTGCAATTTGTTTTGAATACCATATCAAATAAACGTAAATTAAATTGATATATATTCAAATTTAATTGAAATGAAAATTATTTTTCACTTCTTGAGTCTGTAAGTAAATACTTTACGGATTTTGGCACACATTCATAATCTTTTGTCAATATTTATATTTTTATACCAATTACCACACTGCGGTACAAGTTATTATGTCTCTGTGCATTTGTTGTAATAGGCAAAAGAAGACGAGGTAGACCAATGGTTCCTTTTGAGAATATGGATAGAATCACTTTCTGAGTCGATTTATGCATGTCCGACTGTCCGTCCGTCTGTCTGTCCATGTTAAATTGTAAACAAAGTACAGGTCGCATTTATTATCCGATTGAGATGAAATTTGGCACAAATCATTTATTTGGCCCAAGGACGAAAATCGGTTCAGATTTAAGCGGTGTACACACTATCACTTTTGAATGACAGTTTTTTATCGATTACTGACTGTCCAACAACCATGAATATTTTTGTGGTTGCTTAATGAATGACAATCATGAGAGGCCACACTATCAAACAAGCAAAATTTGGGCAAGAGTGTCATTCAAAAATGATAATGTGTACACCGCATTAGATATAGCTCCTATATATATTTTTGTCCGATTTTTAGCAAATGGTGCACCAAAGAGTCAAACTTAGGCCGATTGGCATACAATTTTGCACAACGTACTGGACTTACGATGGCACAACGTGTGCCTAGTTTTATTGAAATCGGTTCAGATTTAGATATAGCTCACATATATATTTTCCTCCGATTTTTTGACAATGGTGAATTTTCCAGTAACATTTATTCAGTAAGTTCTAGTTCAGAGGGTAAGCCTTTTATACTCTTTTTTGCGATAATACTGAGAAAAGTAAACAGACAACATTTAGTAAGATTTAGCAAATAAACCGCTGATTCAAGAAAACATTTGATTTGCGCTAAAATATACAACAAACAAAGGACGCACCCAATTATTTGTATTGTATTTAATATTAAAAATAAAATGAATAATAAAAGAAAAATTGATTTGTTAAATTTCTAGTAGATTCTTGCAATACGAGAACATGCCACATGTATATACTCAATTTCTTGTTTCCAAACGAGCATAGTAAAAATTGTTTTAATATTTTTTGTAATTTATTTTTGTGTTAACAATTACGCATGTTTTTATTTGCAATCAAGTATCAGCTGACTCATTACTAAATTATATCAAATTCGGTGTAGATAGCTCTAATTTATTTTCAGGATTTCGTAAATCCATATCACGTAACATGGTATAATAATAGAAGGTAACAGCAAGTGTTGTTGTACAACAAACGATACAACAACCATATGGAAATTTGTTGTTGTAAGTTATATTAGTGTCAACGTCATTTTACAGAAAAATGCAAACAAACAAATTATATTTATTTTGAAAATGAAATATTTTCGAATCCTCAAAATAAAATTTGGAAAACATGAATGCAAATCTATCAAATTTATATTTCTATCGCTTCCACTATCGCTTCCACATGCAGGGAATTGCGAGTTATTCCTTGAAGAAAGATTTGCTTTCTCAAACTTTCCCAGCAGGCAGATTGAGTAAATTGAATACGGGAGGACATTTAATAAAGAACAATTTCGAATTGTATGCGTTCTCAATTTTCCTGTTGGGTGATTTTTAAAAACATAATTTGTCAAATTCATATTGACACTAATATAACGTTGGAATCAAATCAGCTGGGACTTGCTGCTACCTTTTATAATTGTACCATGATCACATAAAGTGCTCTATAATTAATGGTCTGTTTCCGTACTGCAAGAATCTAACAAATAAATAAACCTATCATGAACACCCCTAATACAACATTTCAACCTGGCAACATTGCAATCAATTGTTGCGTTATCGTTATTTATTGTGCACTTCGCACTTCATTGTTATCGATTTTCACATTGCCATCACTAACACTTGTAGTATATTTTTGTGTGTGGTGTAAAAGGATTTGGGAGAAATTTTTGCAAAGAAATCCCTAGAAACATCTACAGGAAATTGCAATTCAATTTTTAATACAGCCATGGCAGAAAATAATAAAATTCAATTGGACGACATACAGAAACAGGTATTCGAGAAAATTGCCAAAAATGATAAGGACGGTTTCAAGCAGCTGATAGCTCAAGTTAAAGGAGGAGTCAATTTCATCGATGAAAATGGAATGACACCACTGCAACATGCCTGTTGTAAGGGCAACAAAGAGGCAGTACAAATTCTATTGGACATGGTAGGTTTTTCATTCATAATTTTCCACCAGTGGTGGTGGTGTTTAAAGGGCGCCTTTTTATTTACATTCTGGCCACGTGCTCTTGAGGCTGGGTGTTGTTTTCTAAGTTATTTCTAATAAATTGTTTATTTCTCTAGGGTGCCGATGTGGATTACAGTCAACATGGAGCCAACTATACGCCATTACATTTCGCCGCCTTATCCGGTAATACAGAAATCTGTTCAATGCTACTTGATGCTGGCATCAACCCCAGTACCCTAAACAGTGTAAATCGTACTGCTTCCCAGATGGCGGCCTTTGTCGGCAATCATGCCTGTGTTGAAACGATAAACAATTACGTTCCCAAATCAGTGTTGGAATACTACACAAAACCCCAAGGACTCCAGAAAGAACCCCATTTGCCACCATCAGTACTTGATGCCTTCCACAAATTTGTTATCGAAACCAACTTGCATCCGGTCCGTATTGTATTAAATCTTCAAAACTTCGGCTTGCTGAAACATTTGCCCGGCTTGAAGAAAGCCTTGGAATTAATGTGTGAAAAAGAAATGAAAAAGCCCTCCGATGTTAACGAACTAATGGCATTTAAATATCACTATTTGCGTTGGATTGTTTCCGAATTGATGCGATGCGAGGAACAGTGCAAGGCCCAGCGTAAAGACAAACCGGCAACTGATGACTCCAACAAACATGACTTTGTTGAGATTTTCATTAAACGGGTGCTGAAAGAGAACAAATTGGGCCAACTGGATTATGTCGAGTTCACAATACGCGATTGTGTTCGGGAATTTCCCTTCCGGGAATGTACAATCTTCCGTCAGATTGTTGCTCAACTGCCGGCGAAGGATGCTCCCCCCGCCTTGACTATACTACGTACTGCCATTAATGGTCAACGCGGCTTTGTCGACGAAATATCCTATTGCAGTTCCTGTGGCAATGAGAAGCCCGACAAGAAATGTTCCAAGTGCAAAGCAGTGCAATATTGTGATCGTGAATGTCAACGTTTACATTGGTTCATGCACAAGAAGACTTGTAATCGTCCCACATCGACAACACAAGCTGCTACACAAGCCCAGCCCAAGGGTCCCATCGATGCTGCCGAACTGCGCGAGGAATTGGCTCGGATGACTGCCAGTTAAACCATATATTTACTTCGTGGGCATGGGGTGGGTAACTTTTCCTACGGGGAAAGGGTTAAACAGTGTAATTTGATGTGTGCATTTTACGCTAAAAGTAGTCGTCTCCTTTGGAGTCACCATACATACATATATTTCCATGTGCTGAATAATAATTTTAGATATACATACTTCCAAACTGATGTTTCGCGAGGCCAATTACAGTCTCCCAATAATTTTATAAGTGCTAGATGTAGTTCGATTACGCATGATACGTTTTTATTGTATGTATTGTATTCGCGCTTATATAGATGGCAGTGCACATTTTAGAATCATCAGTTTATTATTTTTTTAAATAAATGAAAAATGGACCATGTGTTTTAAAAATTATTTATAGTTGACTCTGTAATTTAATTATATGTTTTTCAAAATATGTTATATGGATTTTTAGACTTAAAAATATTATTTTACTATAAACAATTCTATTTACAAGAACGTTTCACTCGTTCTCAGTTACTTGCACTCAGACGGTCAACATGTAAAAAATTGTTAGTACATCACTCATCCGATCACTCATCCGATCGCATGTAAATGTTTAAAGTTCCCTATTCATTCTCTTGTAACTACAACGGATCATGTCTCCACGGAGTAAATCTACACGCTATTGAATGGCTTTCGGCTCATAAACCGATCATGATCAAAAAATAGAATCGGAACTTTATTCAAAAAGAGCTGAGACATGGGAATTGGTTTTACTAAAATGTTTTATGTACAAAAGTATAATATTTTGATGTGTTAAACGGAACACACATTTTGTTCGGGATAACTTCCTCTATGAAGATTTATATGACATACATAGATGACATGCAATTGACAAATTAAATCTACAGGATTTGCATAATCCAATACCATGTAAATGTACTACTACAATATCGGAGGCCAACATCTTTATCTTTTTTGAAAGGGATAATAAATGGACATAACTGAATCCCCACGGATTCGGTATGTTGTGGATTTTGAGCACATTTTACAATGGAGGTGACTGTAATTCAATATATTGGGGTTTCATTGGGTTGGTATACACCGTTTTTTCCTTACTTTGAGGTTTATGGGCAAGTCGTCCTCCCCACAATTCCTAGGGTGGATGGTATTGGAATGTCCCATTTCCACGTTTTGGTATAGCCCTCATATAAAGGTACTCTCTCCCTTGACATGTTTTTCAACCGAATTGCTGTAATTTGCAGCGTATGGAGTATCAAATACTCTTCCGACCGAATATGATCAATATTGCTTTATATTTTAGGGTACCTACAATATAACGGTACACCTCAATAATCGGTATTTTAGGGTTATAGGCATGTCTTCCAAAAGTATCCGCGTTTGGAAATTAAGATTCACTTTGGTTATCAAATCTGCCTTCGAAAAATTATCAATAACGGCTTATGTTTCGGGATATCGCCCAATATTCGGTATTTTTATGGTTTAGGCAATATTTCTACCTAATTCATATTATGGTTATGTTATGGTAGTAAATCCTCCTACTAAAATTTATTAATATTGGTCCATCTTTTAGGGAATACCCCATATAATATTTTGGGGAACTTGAGAACGCATTTCAACCGATTTGGGATAAAAATGGTCAACATTGGCCCATTAATATATAATATTGGCCCATGTATCACTTTTTAGGGAATAACCCATATAAAGTTACATTCCAAATTTCGGTATTTTGGGGAGCTTGGATTGTAACTCAATCAAATTATTGTACTTCAATCAAATTTTATATTTTGGATTCTCATTGAGTAAAAAATCTCCCTGACCAAAAAGTACACCCATCATTCAGTATTTTGGGTGATTTAGGCACGTTTACCAACCGAATGCGATCTTATTTGATTTGTCGAATTCTTGTGGCGTGTAAATTATCCTACCAAAAATGATCAATGACAGTTTACCGGTACCATCACATTTTCGGTATTTAGAAGACCTTTGCCGCATTTCCAACCTATGGGACTGCAATGTGGTATAAGGGATTCTGGAAAGCTCACTTATGTATATACAAATTTTGCCGCGTATATATTAGTCCATGTTTTGATGTAACCCCACATAAAAATTATGCTTCATTTTCCTTATTAATAAATTTTTAACCGAAATTACTCATGTAAGCTACTATAATTTGATATATCAGATTTCTGGCAAATAAAAAATTAATTATAGAAGCCCGTTTAGATTTTTCAACTAGAGTCTGTAATTTGAAATACTATTTCATCGGAGACCATTTGGTTCAAATATGTTTCAGACTATTTGGAGTCTATTTACAAATGTCCGTTAATCTGTCTAGTTTGTGCACACTGTAATTGCCGAAAGGTCGGGAAATATAGACTGATTTCTTCTTACAAAGTCGGAAAAGTCGGTATAGGACCGCTTTTTTGGTATATTGTTTTAAGGTTCTCTCCTTTTTCATACCCTTCAACACACTGTGGCAGGGTATTATGTCTTTGTGCATATGTTTGTAACAGGCAAAAGGAATCGAGATAGACCCATGGTTCCTTTTGAGAATATGCATAGAATCATTTTCTGAGTCGATTTATGCATATCCGTCTGCCCGTCTCTCCATGTATTTTTGTGAACAAAGTTCGCATTTATGATTCGATTTGGATGAAATTTGGCACATGTCACATAAATGGAGAAAATCGGTTCAGATTTAGATGAGTTTCGACGTCATTAATGGCTAAATATATTGCACTTACAATACATAATACAATACAAAGCTTGCAATTCGCGAATTAGTTGACATCAGTTGATGCGCATGCGATTTTCGTATAAACCGAATCAATGTCTTTCAATAATTATTAATTTTTCGATGTTTAATTTAGCGGTCAAAGTGTGCCACTCGATGCACTTTACTATGCAAAAGCCCTAAAAATGGCTAAAAATCACGCAACGTGCATTTTTATGCGCATCCGATTTTAGTAATCTCCTATGAAAATACGCAAAAGGACACCTATTTTAAAAGGATCGGTTAAGAACCGCGGATGTGCCTCCACAATCAATTTTGGATAAAATACGCATATTATTCGCGTATCGATGTATTTTTGACCTATTTCCACACAGATTCGCGAATTTGACAATACAAGCATAAATGCATGAAAAATTAATTCGTAGAAGGTTAGGTTAGGTTAGGGATGTACGGCTGTTGTAACAACCGTCCACTCGGAAACTATGTCCATTGTGATCATCCTTTATGTATAGGTGTACCTATAAAGAGAAAGAAGAAAAGATAGTGGAAGAGTAGAGAGAGAGGTAGTCAGAATGGGTGGGAGCGGAAAAGACATTATTTTAGCCAAGTCAATTTTTTGACAAAGCCTAGAATTAGGTTAGGGTCTATTTTGGAGAAGAAGACTAGAATATCAATTTCATAACATCCAAACTGTTTATGTCTTCTGCTGATCAGCGATGGACATTTGCAAAGGATGTGCTCAATTGTTTCCACTTCTTCTTCATCCTCACATAGACGACAGTAATCCTCTCCACTGGAGTCCCACTTAGAAGTGAGAGATCTAACTTTGCAGTGACCAGTAATGATCCCCACAACGATCTTAATCTCCCTCTTGTTGTGATCCAGCAGCGAAGACGTTCTTTTACGAGAGAATTCTGGCCAGATAGATTTAGAGATTCTGCATGCAGGTTCCCTTAGCCATCTGTTGCCGACTACCTCGCAATGGAACGCGCGGATTCTGCCAATGAAATAGCTAATAAGGGGTTTCACAGATCTCTCAATCAGAAGACTGGACGACTGTGACCCCCCTCGAGCAAGCTCGTCGGCTATCTCATTCCCTTCAATATCGTTATGTCCTGGAACCCAGCATAACCCAAGTATTTGACGTATATCATTCAGAGCGGTTTTACAATCACGAACTGCTTTCGAGTTTATAGTATGCGACTTCACCGCTTTCAGGGCCGCCTGACTATCTACGTAAATAGTCACCGGTCCTGTAATGTCTGTATTAAGTGCTTTTACTATCTCGGCCGCTTTCATGATTGCAAGAATCTCTGCTTGAAAAACGCTACAATCATTATTGAGTTTATATGAGTTTCGTATACCTAATTCCCTGCAGTAGACGCCTGCGCCAGTGCCTTCCTCCATCTTGGACCCGTCTGTGAAGATTGACAGACCTGGCAGAGGTAGGGAGCCAGGATTCCCTGTTAGGAAATTCGACTTTAATGTCATTAAAATCCCTATGGGGGGGGGGGAATATAGTCACTGATATGACTATCCCCCCTAAAAAGGTCATAACTTGGCGTTATGTTTAGAATGCTGGCATGACCATAGTTCAGCGATTTCAAGGCATCTGTTTCCCGGAGTCTCAGGGCACACCTAGCAGCCTGGAATTTGATCAGAATGTCCAATGGTTGGAGATTCAAGATTGCATTCAAGGCTGCTTGTGGTGTGCTTCTTAATGCTCCAGTGATCAGAATTGAAGCCGATCGCTGTACTAAGCTCAGTTTTGTCAGCAGCTTCTTTTTATTCACGCCCTGACACCAGACAAGACATCCATAAGTAAGTATGGGTAAGACAATCGTCGTATACAACCAGTGTATAATTCCGGGTCTCAATCCCCAACTCTTGCCTATGGAGTTCTTGCATGAATAGAGTGCCATCAATCCCTTCTTAGAGCGTTCCTCGACATTCCTATTCCACAGTAACTTGCGGTCTAGGACAGTGCCAAGATATTTAGCTTCATCAGAAAGGGTTAATGTCACTCCACCAAGTGATGGCAGACGGAAACTAGGAATTTTGTATTTCCTAGTGAAGAGTACCAGTTCGGTTTTTGTGGGGTTTACACCAAGACCTTTGGTGCAAGCCCAATTTGACAGGGTTGAAAGAGCACCCTCCAGGATGTCTGATATTGTCGTAATAAACTTACCCCCAACCAACAAGACTACATCATCGGCATAGGCTACAACCTTTATCCTGAGATGATTGAATTTCATAAGTATCTCATTTATCACCAGAAGCCACAAAAGGGGGGAAAGAACT